CAAAAACCAGGGGATCGCTTTCCAGCTTTTAAAACCGTATAAGTTTTATAGTTTTATAAATATTGAAGTTTGCCAGATAGGCAGTTTCTCTGTCGACTGCTTGCTTCCTGGCGGGAACAGATTATTCCTAGGGGAACATCTACAGTACATTCCACATCACCCCTACTACCCAACATACCCTCCTAACGTTATTTTCAATTTGCTGAGACTTAAACAGAGACAGAAATTGCCCTAGGCTTAAGCTCAGGTGGCTAACATAGTATTGTAATGAGCAGGAGACCCTGGTACAGGAGACCCTGGTACAAAAACTAAAGGTCAGTCACATACATTGTAAATGTGGGATATACATCTTCTAAAGGGTTTTCTTTGAGGATCACGAAGAACAGTTAATTAAGTTTCACTCAGTGATATCTTCCTATGGGAAAAAAGTGACGGTGGATTCTGAGACAACTATGGAAACAACTTCAATCCAGAATTCCGGCAACCGACCAACTGACTGTAGACATACAAGTAAAAGAAAAAGGCAGAGGTCATTCAGGAATAAAATGTCAAATTTCCATTTCCATTCCAGGAAAGATGTCAGTGTGCCTTGTGAAGTGTGATAATGTTGACGTTTTAATGTTTGAACAATCAAAAGCCCCCTCTCCGAGCCACTCTCATGTCCAACTGTAAGTCTTGAGACTGACCAGACATGGGGCCTGCATGATCTTTCATCAGCTCTGAAGCTTACGTCCTGATCTCCCTGTCCATGCTTCTAAAATCCATCCCGGCATTCCGAAGTTCCATTCCAAAGTTCCATTTCCCCCTGGCGTTCCGGATGAATCCCTGGAGAGTGGCCGTAGATCATAAGGAATGTCCTCTGGGGGCGAAGGGGTTGGTAGACTAGGATATCTTATCTGATGGGTCCTGAGCCTGAACACTCTACAGTCTACTGCCTGTGTTACTACACTACACGGCTGGTAAACTGACCCTGGGTGTGTTACTACACTACACGGCTGGTAAACTGATCCTGGGTGTGTTACTACACTACACGGCTGGTAAACTGACCCTGGGTGTGTTACTACACTACACGGCTGGTAAACTGACCCTGGGTGTGTTTGTACAGGGCTGGTAAACTGACCCTGGGTGTGTTACTACACTACACGGCTGGTAAACTGACCCTGGGTGTGTTTGTACACGGCTGGTAAACTGACCCTGGGTGTGTTACTACACTACACGGCTGGTAAACTGACCCTGGGTGTGTTTGTACACGGCTGGTAAACCGACCCTGGGTGTGTTACTACACTACACGGCTGGTAAACTGACCCTGGGTGTGTTTGTACACGGCTGGTAAACCGACCCTGGGTGTGTTACTACACTACACGGCTGGTAATCTGACCCTGGGTGTGTTTGTACAGGGCTGGTAAACTGACCCTGGGTGTGTTTGTACAGGGCTGGTAAACTGACCCTGGGTGTGTTACTACACTACACGGCTGGTAAACTGACCATAGAAAGCCTTGCCTTAAAGGCCCCGGCCTGAGAGACACAGAGGAGCCTTGAGGCCCCACTCCTAGACCCCTAGGCCCCTGTCTCAGGCTGGTGGCCATCAAGGGATTCATGAG